CTGGTGGTCCAGTGGTTAAGACTTCACCTTCCAATATAGGGGGTGCAGGTTTGATCCCTGGTCGGGAAGCTAAGATCCCACATGCCTTGCAGCTGAAAAGCCAAAACAAAACAGAAACAGTATTGTAACAAATTCAATAAAGATTTTAAAAAATTTTAATTATTTTTGGCTGCACTGAGTCTTTGTTGCTGTGCACAGGCTTTTCTCTAGTTGAGACAAGAGGGAGCTACTCTAGTTGTGGTGCACAGGCTTCTGTTTGCAGTGGCTTCTCTTGTTGAGGAACGTGGGCTCTAGGCATCTGGGCTCAGTAGTTGTGGAGCACATGCTCAGTTGCCCCTCAGCAGTGGATCAGGGATTGAACCTGTGTCCCCTGCATTGGCAGGCAGGTTCTTTTTTTTTTTTTTTTTGAGGCATTTTATTTTTTAAATGTCTACATAAACTGCTTTAGAATGGATGCACCATGAATTTTTTTCCCTGAACTTTATAAACTTTTTTTCTGTATCAGGGTATAGCCGATTAACAATGTCATCGTAGTTTCAGGTGAACGGCAAAAGGACTCAGTCATACATATACATGTATCCATTCTCTTCCAAACCCTCCTCCCATCCAGGCTGGCACATAACATTGAGTAAAGTTCCATGTGCTATACAATAGGTCCTTGTTGGTTTTCCATTTTGAATACAGCAGTGTGTACATGACCTTCCTAAACTCCCTAACTATCCTCCCCCTGCCCTCACAACCATAATTTCCTTTTCTAAGTCTGTGAGTCTTTATATGTTTTGTAAGTAAGTTCATTTGTATTGTTGCTTTGTAGATTCCACATGTAATGAATGTTATACAATGTTTCTCCTTCTGTGTGGGACTCCACTTCACTCAGCATGACACTCTCTAGGCCCATCCATGTTGCCGTGAATGGCATTATTTCATTCTTTTAAATGGCCGAGTAATATTATACTATATATATCACATACATATACATATGTTTTATATATATATATATATTATATACATACCACATCTTCTTTATCCATTCCTCTGTTGTTGGACATTTAAGTTGCTTCTGTGTCTTGGCTATTTTAAACAGTGCTTCTATGAACATAGGGGTACATGTATCCTTTCAGATAATATTTTTCTCCAGATATATGCCCAGGAGTAGGATTTCAGGGTCATATGGTAGCTCTATTTTTTAGTTTTTTAAGGAACCTCCATACTGTTCTCCACAGTGGCTGTACCAATTTACATTCCTACCAACAGTGTTGGTATGTACACTGTACATACATTGTACATTTTCTTTATACCCTCTCCAGAATTTGTTATGGATTCAAAAATACATTTATTTATTTATTTGGCTGCACCAGGTCTTAGTTGCAGCATGTGGAATCATTAGTTGTGGCATGTGGGATCTAGTTCCCTGACCAGGGATTGAACCCAGGCCCCCTGAATTGGGAACATGGAGTCTTAGCCATTGGACTACCAGCGAAGTCCCTATTTTTTTTTTTTTATGCTGGCCATTCTGACTGGTGTTTTGATTTGCGTTTCTCTAATAACTAGCAATGTTGAACATCTTTTTACCTGCCTGTTGGCCATCTTTATGTCCTCTTTGGAGAAATGTCTATTCAGGTCCTCGGCCCATTTTTTGTGTGGGCTGTTTGTTTTGATGCTGTTACGCATCATAAACTGTTTATAAATGTTGGAGACTAATCCCTTATCAGTCACACTTTGCAAATATTTTATCCCAAACTGTGGGTTGTCTTTTCATTTTGTTTTTTGTTTCCTTTGCTATGCAAAAACTTTTGAGTTTAAGTAGGTCCCATCTGTTTGTTTTTGCTTTTATTTCCATTTTTCTGGGAGATGGATCAAAAAAGATGCTGCTGTGATTTATGTCAGAGGGTTTTCTGCCTCTGTTTTCCTCTAGGAGTTTTATAGTATCTGGTCTCACATTTAGGTCTTTAATCCATTTTGAGCTTATTTTTGGGTATAGAGTTAAAGAATGATCTGAACTTCCTTTTTGCATGTGGCTGTCCAGTTTTCCCAGGACCATTTGTTGAAGAGACTGTCTTTTCAGCATTGTATAGTCTTGGCTGTTTTGCCATAGATAAATTGGCCATAGGTGCATGAGTTTATTCCTGGGTTTTCTCTCCTGTTCTCTCCTGATCTATGTTTCTACTGTTGTGCCAGTACTATGCTTTTTGACAACTGTAGCTTTGTAGTATAGTCTAAATTCAGGGAGCCTGACTCCTCCAGCTCTGTTTTTCTTTTTCAAAATTGACTAGGCAGGCAGATTCGTAACTACTGGACCACCAGAGAAGCCCCTTGAAGACTTTAATAGTGGCCATTCTGACTGATGTGAGGTGATACCTCATTGTAGTTTTGAATTGCATTTCTCTATGAATTAGCAATGTGGAGCAGCTTTTTGTGTGCCTATTGCCCATCTGTATTGCCAACACATTTTTAATTCATGCACCAGCCGGGTCACTTGGGAAAGGTCCGCAGGTCCTCCTGCAGGGCATCTGCCACAGCTCTGGGTGTGGCTCTGACATGTCCCCACAGAACCCCGGGGCTGCTGTGCTGTCTGCTTTCAGAACAGGATTTTCTCTTTCAACAAGAGCATCTTTGCAGACTATCTCCTTCTGGTCCAGCAGGCCGGCTGCTCAGTGCCTCGGTTCCCCCACCTGTATGGTGAGGTGGGGCTCTCACAGCAAGTATACTGGAGTGGTTTGACATTCCCTCCTCCAGTGGATCAGATTTTGTCAGAACTCTCCATTATGACTCCTCAGTCTTGGGGGTGGCCCTACACTGCATAGCTCATAGCTTCATTGAGTTATGCTTATGCTTTCAGACTGTGGTCCTGGAGCAGACTCTTGAGAGTCTCTTAGACTGCAAGGAGATCAAACCAATCAATCCTAAAGGAAATCAACCCTGAATATTCATTGGAAGGACTGATGCTGATGCTGAAACTCCAATACTTTGGTCACCTGATGTGATGAACCAACTCATTAGGAAACCAACTTTCCCTGACGCAGGGAAAGATTGAGGGCAGGAGAAGAAGAGGGCAACAGAGAATGAGATGGTTGAATGTCATCACCAATTCAGTGGACATGAACTTGGGCATACTCCGGGAGATGGTGTGGGACGGGGAAGCCTGGTGTGCTGCAGTCCACAGGGTTGCAAAGAGTTGGACACAGCTTGGTAACTGAACAGTAGTGGCATGATGGTAGCCATAGTCCCTCCCCGGGGATGACAGTGGGAGGGTGGAATAAATGAGAGTATTGGAGGGTGCTGGGCACACGGTGAGCAGAGGTGCCAGCCGTGTCACTGTCACCGTCATGCCAGGCTCTGTAGTTCCTCATCTGGGTTCACATTTTGCTGTGCTTTGTGAATCTGGGCTGGGCACACCACCTCTCTGAGCCTCAGTTTCCACATCTGTTAGTGATGGGGGTGATGAGAACATCCCCATGTCAGAGGTTGATTCACCTGATACAGAAGAAAGCTCCATGAACTGTCAGCTGATGAAACGACACACACGGAGCATCACTCAGTCCTGAAAAGGAAAGAAACTTGCTACCACATGGACGGTCCCTGAGGACATGATGCTCAGTGAGAGGAGCAGACACAGAAGGACACACAGGGCGTGATTCCACTGATGGGAAACGTCCAGAACAGGCCGATCCACAGACACACAGAGTGGGTTCCTGGTTGTCAGGGGCTTGGGGAGAAGAAGGGTGACTGCAGATGGTGATGGGGCTTCTTTTGGGGTGATGGAATATTCTGGAATTAGAGGCGGTGGTTGCACAATCCCATGACTGTACTAAATGCCCCTGAATTGTTAAGTAGGTGAGTTGTATGTATGGTGTGTGAAGTACATTTCAATAAATCTTTAACCAAAGAAAGAAAAAGAAATACACACATACATAACTTTGCTAGAGAACGGCCCAGAAGGTCCTGGCAGGGAGCTCTCACCCCCCAAGGAGCCTCTCAGAGTCAGGGGGTGTTCACATCATCAGTCACAACAAGGGGATGGCCTGGGGTCGCCTCTCTGCTCCAGGCCTGGGATGGGGGCCGGCAGGTGAGTGCAGGACTGGGGGGCTTCCTGAAGGCGGAGGCTGGTCTGGAGGATGGGACAGTGTGGGCCTGGGTGGGGAGCTGGGGGCACCGGGGGTTGTAACTTGGAGGGAACTCTCTGGGGCCTCGGGGGTCAGGCCCATGGGTGGAGAGGAAGCGGGGCTGGAAGCTGCGGCTTTGTCCCCTTCCTGCTCCAACTGTAGCTGGTGCAACAGACAACGGTCTTGCCGGGAATTGGAGCTGGGAGGGGGCTGAGCAGACCTGGGCGGACACACCCGGGATCCAGGGAAGGTGAGCAAGAGAGGCTCATCCTCAGAGTTTCTGTCTCTTTTTTCTCTCCTCTCTTTAAAAAAAGAAAACACTCTATCCTCGAGGGTGTCAGTGTCTGGGGCTCCAAGCTGGGACCCTCTGCTCTGGGACCCCAACCTCCAGGGCCTCAGTTTCCCCATCTGAACAGTGAACAGGTGGGACCCCTGGACTGTTCTGGGCTCCTGAGACACATGTTTGTCTCTGGGCTTCACTTTCCCCTTCTGTAAAGAGGACCCACAGACACAGAGAGTGAGTTCCTGGTCGTCATGGGGTAGGGGAGAAGATGGGGGGTGATGCTGATGGGAGTGGGCTTCTACTGAGGTGATGGAATGTCCTGGAATTGGATAGCGAGGTTTGGATGGTGAGGGCTACACAGCCTAGTGAAATGCACTAGGTATATTTTGAATTGTACACTTTAAAAAGGTGAATGTTATGTTATGTGAATTTCATCACTAAATTATGAAAAACAAATAAACTCAATGAATATTCAGGGTTGATTTTCTTTAGGATTGACTGGTACGATCTCCTTGCAGTCTAAGGGACTCTCAAGAGTCTTCTTCAGCACCACAGTTTGAAAGCATCAATTCTTTGGCGCTCATCCTTCTTTATGGTCCAACTCACATCCATACATGACTACTGGAAAAACCATAGCTTTCGCTATATGGGCTTTTGTCAGCAAAGTGATGTCTCTGCTTTTTAATACACTGTCTAGGCTTGTCATAGCTTTTCTTCCAAGGAACAAGCGTCTTTTAGTTTCATGGCTGCAGTCACCGTCCACAATGATTTTGGAGCCCAAGGAAATAAAATCTGTCACTGCTTCCACTCTTTCCCCTACTATTTGCCATGAAGTGATGGGACCAGATATCATGATCTTAGTTTTTTTAATATTGATTCATTATTCCCCAGGTATTTTTATAACGTTTTATGTTTTTTTTTATTTTTGACTGTGCTGGGTCTTTGTCGCCGCAGGCAGGCTTTCTCTAGTTTGTGGCGAGTGGGGGCTACTCATTGCACTTCTCAGGCTTCTCACTGTGGTGGCTTTTCTTGTTGTGGAGCACAGGCTCTAGATGCTTGGGCTTCAGTATTTGCAGTACTGGGGCTTAGTTGACCCTCAGCATGTGGAATCTTCCCAGACCAGCGATCAAACCTGTGTCCCCTACTTTGGCAGGCAGATCCTTAACCACTGGACCATCAGGGAAGTTCCTAAGTATATTTTTAAAATGCATGTATAATATGTAATTGGTACTAATATATAATGTAAGATTTAACTTTATATATATATATATATTTGACTGTGCCAGGTTTTAGTCGTAGCATGTGGGATCTAGTTTCCTGTCCAGGGATTGAATCCAGGCCCCCTACATTGTGATCATGTAGTCTTAGCTACTGGACCCCCAGGGAAGTCTGTGATTTACAATTTTATTTTAGTTTAATAAATTATATGTATTGTTTTACATATCATTTATATAGTTATATTTATTATGTTTTATATGTTCTTTATACAAGTATATTTATGTTTTATACATTGTTATATAATTATATTTATTGTTTAATGTTTATTTTTAGTTCCTTTCATATTAGGCTCATTATCTTTCTGTGATTCAAGCGGCAGTCTAAAGCCAGTTTCTCATGTGTTTCTTGACTTCGCTGTACAATATACAGCCAGCCGTCAGTGGTCGCACGTTCCACACCCACGGATTTAACCCACCGCAAATCAAAAATATTTGGAAAAAAATTTACCAACAAGTTCTAAAAAGTAAAACTTGAATTTGCTGTAGGCAGGCAGCTATTTGCACAGCATTGACATTGTATTATATCAAGTGCACAGAGGGTGTATGTAGGTCACTTGCAAATATGACACCACTTGATATAAGGGGCTTGAGCATCCAGGGATTTGGGTATCCACGAGGGTCCTGGAGCCAAGCCCCTGCAGACACGAAGCAGTAGTAGCAGTGAAAATGTTAGTCGCTCAGCCCTGTTCCATCTGTGCAACCCCAAGGACTGTAGCCCACCAGGTTCCTCCTTCTACGGGATTCCCCAGGGAAGAATACTGGAGTGGGTTGCCATTCCCTTCTCCAGAGGATCTTCCCCACTCAGGGATCAAACCCACATCTCCTGCATTGCAGGCAGATTCTTCACCATCTGAGCCACCAGGAAAGCCCCAGGGGTGACTGTATTCCCCACCATCATGACAGACGTTTCATGAGGGCTGTGACCTCACAGGTGTGGGTTCAGAGCCCAGCTCTAGCTGTGTGGCCCCAGGGGAGTCACCCAATCTCTCTGAGCCTTGGTGCTGCCTCTGTGGAGTGGAGGTCACGAGAGCCCCTGGTTCCCAGGACCGCGATCAGATTGCCTGAGTGGAGACCCCTGGGGTGGATGCCACTCTTGTGGGCAGAGGTCCTGGCACTGGGCCCCCAGCCCCGCCCGCCCCCCGAAGAGCACAGTCAGGCGCCGTGGGCAGAATGGGGACAGATTCTTTATTAGAGTCACAACCGCGGGGGCCGGGGTGGGGCCTCGGGATGCACACGCAGTGCGTCGGTGGGGGCTGAGCTCTGGCTGAACAGCGCCCCCCGCTGGCTGGGCGGGGTCCGTCAGGACGGCTGGTTTATAACCGAGTCAATCCAGTTCCTGAAGAGGGCCACACGCGCGAAGAAGTCGGTGCCCCTACCGCAGGGCCCCCGGGACCAAGAGGCCACGCCGTGTGCCAGGCCGTTGCAGACAAGAGGGGTGCCGCCGTCCCCCTGCAGGGGCAGCAGGAGGGTCAGGGCGCCCTAGGCCCAGCCCTCCACCCTACTCCTGCCCAGAACACCACCCCTGCCACCCACAGAACCTGCTCATGCCCCTGGCCCTGTCTGTGTGCTGCTCCTCTTTCTGCGCTTTTCCCTACATTTGCTCGCAAGTCGGGTCTCAGATGCCGCCCCCACTTCCTCAACTTCCTAAGGCCCCAGGCTGGGCCGGCCTGGTGCACACCACTGCCTTTTTTTTTTTTTTGACACCCCTGTCTTAAGAGCTGATGCCCAAGCCCTTCAACCACAAGCTATGGGAGCTCCTGGCTCCAGAAGGGCAGTCCCTCCTGTCCCCTCTTGTGTCGCCAGCCACCAGCATAGGGCTTGGCAGGCAGAGTTGAATAAATACTGTTTCTCAGGCTCCAGTATCTGAAACATCCAGTTCTAATTCAATACTTAGTCCCAGGGTGAGTTCTGAACTTGCTTTCTCTCCCCACAAGTGGAGCTCACTACCTCTCAAGACCCCTTTTCCCCCACCACGCGGAGCCCACACCAGATAACACCCAGTGGGTACCTGGCAGATGCCACCCCGGCGGGTGAGGACGCCAGTGCACACATTGTTGGGGCGACACTGGTTTGCAGGTGTCACGGTAACATTGAGGACCCTAGGAACTCGGGAGAGACGCCCCCTACGCCGTCGGGTGCCCCAGCCTGCAACCTGGCACCTGGTTCCGGCTTCCACCGTGGCGTTCTGCTCCGGCAGCGGTACCAGCGCCACGCTGCTGGTGAGGTTGGCCTGACGGTCCAGCTGGAGAGGGAAACTGGGTCAGGAGAGGGTGTAACTGGGGCCCAGCTGGGAGCCAGAGAGGCAGCAACATGAGTTCTGACCTGGAAAGCAGTTTGGGTTCAAACCCCAGTTTAGGCAGTAACCTGCTGTGGGGTCCTGGACAAATGACTTTACCTTCTGGGCCTCTGGTTCCTCCAGAGAAGGAATCAATTGTCCTTACTTGCAAAGGTGGTTGAGAGACCCTGAAGGTGAAGAGCTCGCCCAGGAAATGCAGATAAAACAAAGCACCACCCTCCACTCTCGGTCAGATTGGCAGGAAAAAAATTTTTTTTCCTTACATATGAAACGCTTCATGAATTTGCATGTCATCCTTGCTCAGGGCCATACAAGTCTTCTCTGTATTGTTCCAATTTTAGTATATGTGCTGCCGAAGTGAGCACTGGCAGAAAAATTTTAAAAATCATAATATGCAGTGTCAGCAAAGATGTGGAGAAACAGGCAGTTTTAAATTCTGCTAGTGGAAGGGTAAGTTGGCTCAGTTGTTGTGGCTGCTCTGGGAAAACTTTCACAAAGAAATATGCACAAAAACTCATTGTGATTCTGTCATAACAAAAACATCTGGAAACAACTTCAGTGTCCAGGATCCAGAGGCTGGCTAAGTGGATTGTGCACTTGGCTGTACGATTTAAACACCAGGCTCCCTGCACATGGCTTGCTCCCCCTTAGCCCCTCAGGCTGACGCCAGCTCCCCACTCCTTTCCCCACCTGCAGCAGCAGCACGTCATTCAGGTTCTGCTGGGGATCATAGCCATTCTCGCTGACGCTCCTGATGGAGAACGTCTGCCGGGACCGCTCCCGACGCCTCAGGTCATAGGCACCCAGCACCACGGTGGCAATCCCAGCGTTCCTAAGAGCGGGCGGGGACAGATACCAGGCTGGGCTTCCCCACAAGCCCCCAGCCTTCTACACTCACCAGCGGGCACTTACATGGGGGCAGGCTTGCAAATAAGGTAGGGAATTACCAGCCTGCTTGCTCACGGCCCGGGAGCCAGAGAAAGGACATCAGTGATGGTCAGGCCTCTGTTCATCCTCCTTCTGTAGCTGCATCTCGCTCTGTTTCCAGGGCCCCATTTCCCTTTCTAAGCCCCTCAATCCTTCCTAAGTCCAGGCCCCCTTGCCAAGCCCCTCCCCTCCTCACCTGCTAGGCACCCCCCCCCCGGCCCCCCGAGCTCTCTCCCGCTCCCAGCCCCCCTGCCCACTCCATGGCCCCCGTCTTACCGGCTCTGGAAGCAGCTGGCCGCTGTCAGGACAAAGTTGGGGTGGATCAGAGCGCCCCCACAGAAGTGCCTCCCTTGTTTCTGGATGGAAGCCAGGAATGGGAGCTCCTGTGGCAGGGCCTTCCTGCCGCCCACTATGTCCACCAGAGGGGCAGAGGCTGGGGGGAAAAGGAGGGTGTGTTGCAGCCCCCCAGTCTCAGCCCCATACCCAGAGAGACCCCAGCCTCCCGCACCCCTGTTCCCTAAAAGGACAGGTCCCCACCCTCCTGGGGCTGGTCGGGGCCAGCTTGCCTGTGTGGCCTGGGCCTGGTTGCTTCACTGTCCCTCCCTGAGCCTTGTGTCTGGGAAATTGGGGCCGACACCCACCAGTCCCTCTCCCCCAGGCCTGTCCCCTGCAGTTGAACCCCTGCACAGATGCAGACACCTGGCCTGGGGTGGGCACTCACCAGCCCTGGAGGTTGCTAGCAGGCTGGCCAGCACGGCCAGGAGTCTGAGTGCTGTCATGATGGGGCCGCTGAGGGTGGCTTGGGACAGGGCGCCTTTATACCCTGGGGCCTCACCCGTTAGCGCACACACCCCCAGGTCCAGCCCCTCCTAGCGGGAGCAGAGGAAGTTGCCCAAAACCTCCCCAGTTGGCCGCTCCTGGAACCTGCCTGGACTCTCCAAGTGCCAGCCTGCACCCTCTGTCTTCCCCTCTGGATACTGGGCCACCCCTTGGTGTGGGTCAGGCCATCACCCAGCCGCCACTCGTAGCTCTGCCCGGCTTCCTAGCCTGAGTGCCGGGGCCCACCACTGCCCACCTGGCCTGGGATTGAGTTCTGCTGGCTTCGTGTGTGTGTGTGTGTGTGTGTTCTTTACTGCTTTTTATTTTATTATTTATTTGGCTGTGTCGGATCTTAGTTGGGGCATGTGGGATCTTTCAATTGCAGCATGCGGGATCTAGTGCCCCTACCAGGGACTGAACCTGGGCCCCCTGCATTGGGAGCGTGAAGTCTTTGCCGCTGGACCACCAGGGAAATCCCTGCTTTTTTTTTTTTAAACAGCTTTATTGGGATATGATTCAAGTACCATACAATGTGCTGGATTAAAGCATGCAGTTTCATGGTTTTCAGTATCTTCACAGAGTTATGCAGCCATCACCCCAATTTTAGAACATTTCATCACCCCAAAAGTAAAAAGTAGCTATCAGAAGTCACACCCTGTCCCCCAACCCCTGATAACCATGAACCCACTCTCTGTGCCTGTGGATTTGCCTGTTCTTGACATTTCCCATCAGCGGAATCACACAAACTCTGTGGCCTCTTGTGGCCAGCTTTTCACCTACAGGATTTTTACCTGTAGGTATGTGGCTGGGTCCCCCACCTGCCCTTAGTCTGTGCATCTATATAGTGGGCAGGTGCATGGAGCCCCCAGAGCCTTGAGGTGCTGGAGACATTGCCTGCCCTTCTCCGGCCTCAAAGTAGGGTCTTCAGAAGTTTTAGGCATCCAGTACCTGAGCAAGAGATGAGGCCAAGCATAGAGAAAGACAGGGTTGTGTAGAGCTCTCACAGCTCAACAACAAAAACAAACCATCCACTTAAAAATGGGCAGAAGGTTTGAATAGACATTTCTCCCAAGATACACAAACGGCCAACATGCCATGAAGATGTTTAAAATTATTAGTCATCAGGGAAATGCAAATGAAAACCACAGCGAGACACCACTTCACACCCACTAGGATGGCTAGGATGAAAAGGGCAGAACAAACACAGTGTTGGTGAGGAGGTGGGAAACTGGAACTCAAGACACACTGGCTGAGATGCAAAACCCTGCAGCCGCTAGGGAAAGCCAGGCAGCTCCTCAAAGACTGAATTATCCTGTTACTCAGCACCTCCACTCCAAGGTGCAGGCCCAGGAAAACTGAAAACAGGGCCCATAAACCTGCACATGCATGTTCACAGTGTGAGTCACAGCTGCCAGGATCTGGAGGCAACCAAATGCCCTTCAGCAGACAAACGTGTCCCTCCACACATGAGAGCATCCCTCAACTGTGAAGAGGGGTGAAGTCCTGACACTTGCTACCACATGGAGAGACCCTGAGAACATGATGCTCGGTGAGAGAAGCAGACACAGAAAGACACACAGGGTGTGATTCCACTGATGGGAAACGTCCGGAACAGGGCGATCCACAGACACACAGGGACTGGGGGTTTAGGGGGTTAGGGGAATAATAGCTGAAGGAAACAAGGTTTCTTTGGGGGACATGGAATGTTCTAGAATTAAATGGTTGCACAACTCTAAATGCTCCAAAAGCCAGTGGATGGTATAACTTACAATGGCTGATCTTACGTCAAGTGAATTTCACATCAATTTAAAATTTTTACTTATTTTTGACACCTCAGCTTTTATTATTTACTTATGGCTCCGCTGGGTCTTTGCTGCCATGTGGGCTTTCTCTAGCTGCAGTGAGCAGTAACTGCTCTCTAGTTACACTGCAGTTGCTTCTCTTGCGGAGCATGGCCTCTAGGGCATGTGGGCTTCACCTGTTTCCACACTCGGGCTCAGCAGTTGTGGCACATGGGCTTAGTTGCTCTGCAACATGTGGGGTCTTCCTGGACCAGGAATTGAACCCACATCCCCTGCATTGGCAGGCGAATTCTTAACAACTGGACCATCAGGGAAGTCTGATGCCTCAAGTATTTTTTAAAAGAGGATTTATTTCCAAGGTGACACCAAGAGGTTGGGCTGGTGGTGGACCCTATGTCTCAGGTCACCAGTTGGTGTCTGGGGCTGTGGGGGGCTCTTCCAGGGCAGTACTGGGGAAGGTGGAGGGAGCAGGTGTCAGGGTCCCCTGCTAAGCCTCAGAGTCCTCCTCCGAGCTGAAAGGGTGGGGTCCTGGGGTTCAGACTGATCCCTGCTGTGTTTATGGCCCCACAGCTGAGCCGTGTCCCTAGCACAGCCCCCAGGACCGGACCCTACCCCAGTCCAGTGTCCGCCCCCCCAAGACTGCTTCCCATCTCCACCCTCCTAGGATCCCACCCATGCTTCCCCCCACCCCCTACCCCGAGTCCCCAGCATGCCACCCACACCGTCCGTTCCTATGGACCCAGCTGCCGTCTCTCCCAGAGCACAGCCGGTTGAGCTGGGTGACGCTGGGGTCCAGAGGTCCCTTCCTACATCCCTTCCTACTGGGTGATCTCAGGGGCCCCTTTCTGGGTCTCAGTTTCCCTGTCTGTGCAGCAGGACATTAACGCCCCCCGCCCCCAACACATAGAGCTGTGTTGAGCATCCAGTGTATTAATGTGTTCAGGAGTCTCTGAGCAGCACCTGGTGTGTTCCACCCTCTTGCCTGCTCTAAACTCTGCCATGGCTCCCTAGTGCCCAGAATCAAGTCATCACCCTCCCACCCCCCACCCCTGGCTGCTGCTGGGCCACGTACCATCAGAGCTGGACCTCGCTTCCTTTCCACCACTGGGGATCCAAGGAGGAAGAAGCCCCCCCCTCCCACTCCTGATACTGCCCCAGACCCTCTCCTGGTTCCCCAAGCTGTCAGGAAGGTCTCTGGGGACATTCCTTCATTTCTGCCCATGCCCCCAGGAGGCATCAAGCATGATTGCCCCATTTCCCTTCCTCCTACCTCCAGAGGACAGTTTGTGGTCACCTTTCAACACCAGCGATTCCCAACGGCTGTCCAGCCCAGGTTCTGCCCCTGCCTGGCTGGGAAACGGAGTCCAAGTGGGCATCAGGCCTGGGGAGGTGGGACAGACATGCCAAATGTGTCCCCTACACCAAGCCATCTTGTTATGCCCATTTCCAAGTGAGGGAACTGAGACCCCGGTGGGATCAACTCTCTGGACCCCACCCTTAACCACACGGAGGATCATCTTTGAAGACAGATGGAGTTGATTGTCTTAATACAAGAAGGGCCGCAGCCAGGAAGGGTCTGGAGTATGGATGGCTGCACACACTGGGCTCTCCGGCCGCGCAGCCCTCCCCCCACCCCCCCATCCAACTGGACGTTTAACCGTGGGACTCATTTTGAGGGTCTGTCCCGGTTCTCGACGGCTCCCCCGTGACTGTACCGGGCTAGGTGTACAGGAGATAGTGAACAAAATGAGCCAAAGAAAATCCTGCCGTCTGGGGCCTGGAGACTGTGGACAGTTATTTAAGTACCCGGGGGCCTGTTTCCCCATTTGTCAAACGATGGTTAGCTGGCCCCCACCCCTCATGACTGTGGAAACACCTGCAAACAGCAAGCGCTGCCTAAGGAGCCTCACGTGAATTCACCACGAGGGCCCTCCCGCTCCGCGCGCATCGCGGAGCATCCCGGAGCTTCCCGGGCCTTGCGCCGATGCTGCGAGCCAGGCGAGGGGCCGCGGTCGGACCAGTGGAGGGTGGACCCCGAGTGGCTGGGGGAAGATTCAGGGCAGGTGGGCGAGGCGCGGGCCCGGGAGAGAGACAGCGCCCCCACCCCCACCCTCAGCTTCTTTTGTCTCCCGATGGCCCGGGCGCCCAGGGAACTCGCCATGGAAACGCGTACCGGGGAGGTGGGCAGAGACGCGGGAGGCCCGGAGACCCCGCCCGCGTCCAGCCTGGATGGGGCTACCCGGGACCATCTGAGCCGCCCGGGGAGGGGAGGAGCCCTCAGACCCCGGTTAGTGCTCCCCGCCGCGGGGGACGTAGATCCCAGAGACCCAGAGACCCAGAGACCGAGGGCGCGGAGCCGGGAGGCGGGGACGGCGACGGACGCGCGCGGCGCCCTCGAAGCGCCGAGACAAAGGCGCAGCCTCCAGGCCGCCAGGCGCGGGGTCTCAGGCCGGGCGGGGCCACTCGCTCTCCGCCCCCCCACCTCCGCCCGCGCGGGGGCGGGGCCGGCTTTGTGCCCGCCGCGCCGCAGCCCCCGCCGCCGCCAGCTCCGCCCTCCGAGCGCGGGCGCGCCAGGTGAGGGGCCTGCGGGCGGAGCGCGGACCCCACCCCTCCACGGGCTCCGGTCCTCCGGGTCCCGGAGGCCCCAGCCCTGACTCGCGGGTGGGACCCCGGCCCGGAGGCTCTCGACAAGGCCGACCCCGCCCTCTCTGCCGAGCCCTCTTGCGGCCCCTCCATCCGGGGAGGCAGCCGGAGGGTTGGGCAGGACCGCAGTGCGCCAGGGGCGGCCGCGGCCCCCGCCTCGCGGCCTCAGTTTCCCTGGGCGTTTTCTGTGGATCCCGGCCCGCCGCTCCTCCGCGGGCGCCGGGCACCTGGTCCCCCAGGGCTCAGTCTGCGCCTCCCCTCCTCCAGCGCGGCTTTGTCCCCTCCAACTACGGTTTGTGGCGCCCTCGGCACCATGATCTCGACCAAGGAGAAGAATAAAAGCCCGAAGGACAGCATGACGCTTCTGCCCTGCTTCTACTTCGTGGAGGTGACTGGGGGGAGGTCGCGCTGGTGGGGGCGGGGCAGAGGCCTCCGTTCAGCCGGCCCTGGGGACCCCCACGCCGAGGGACCGGGGCGAGCGCAGCCAGGGGCCTGGGTGTGTGGGGGCGCGGGGAGGACGGTCAGAACAGTTGGGCTTTGCAGGACGAGTAGGAGTTGCAAGAGAATGTTCTGGGCTTTGCGGGAGCTGGACAGATGCTCGAGGCGGGACCTTCAGTCCGGGGTTCGGGTCAGCAGCTCACACGAAGGGGCTGGAGCAAGGTGCTGGGCGCGGTGGGCGGGCGGGGAGGGGGGCGCGGTATGGGTGCGATGTCTTCCTGCAACGTGAAGGCCGGAGGCCTGAGTGTCTGAATTGAAATTCCTCCTCTGCTAATCGTGGAGGCTCGTGCACTTCCTGAGCTCTGACAGAACAGGCTGCGCATGTAGTGAGGGCCTCAGGAGTGCTGCAAAATAAGATAGTTAAGTGCAGCCACTGGGCACATCCTGAGCGCTGGTGAAGTGCTGGTGAGGCGAATCCACCTGATCAGTACCTGGGTTACCCACAATGCCTCTTACTCTACACGCCAGGAAACCCGGCTGGAGTGAGGGGCCCAGACTGGGCGTGGGTGGAGAAGTCCCCCTGACCTGAGCAGATAGTACCCAACCCTACCCTGAGCAGGGTCACCCAGATGGCTGGTTACCTCCCCCACAGGCAGAAAACCTGGTTAGTTTTTCAAGTTTGCATTTGAATCCTTGTTACAGTAGGTTATTCCTCCTCAGTGTTCTACAGGCCACACGGAGGCAGCCCCCACCCTCAGCTCCTCTCAACTTCCCAGTACTCTCACCTGTGTCCCTTTCCAGAAAGCCTTTCATCCAGGGCTTACCAGGTGGTGCTAGTGGTAAAGAACCGGCCTGCCAGTGCAGGAGAGTAAGAGTTGTGAGTTCAATCCCTGGATCAGGAAGATTCCCAGGAGAGCAGGGCAACCCACTCCAGTATCCTTGCCTGGAGAATCCCCATGGACAGTGAGCCTGGTAGGCTACAGTCTGTGCGGTGGCAAAGAGTCCAACAGGACTGAAACGACTATAGCCAGCCTCCCATTCAAGTTCACCGTATGTAGCCCTTCCCCCACCACCTGTAGAAACGCAGGTTCTGCCCTTGGCCTTTTTTTTCTTTGGCTGCAGGCGGGGTCTTAGTTGTGGAATGCAGGATCTTTAGTTGCAGCATGTGGGATCTAGTTCCCTGACCAGCAATCAAACCTGGGCCCCTGGGAGTGCGGAGTCTTAGCCACTGGACCTCCAGCGAAGTCCCTGCCCTTGGTGTTTCTAGCAGAGATCTTTGTTTACCATCGCCCCATCATTTTTCACTGCCCCGTAGTACTCCAGTGCCAGCCCTAGGGAGTTGGGCATTTGGGGGGTTTCCTAGCCTTGATGTCTCACAAGCATTCCTAGGAGACTGTAAACTCTTTGGCCTGTGTCACCCTACACAGAATGCAGAGCTTGTCTGCATTGTGCATCTGTAGTGAGCAGGGTGTGGAAAGACCCCAGATTCCTCCTACTGAGGCCCCTGCACTTGCCTGTTTCCCCATAGTTGTGTCTGCACCTGTGTTGGTGATGTTTGAATTTTGACCAACCTGAGAGGTGCAAAGCCATATCCCAGCCCTGGTCTGCATTTCCTGTACTGCCAGCATTATGTTTGTGTGTGCGTGGTAAGTTCCTTCAGTAGTGTCGGGCTCTTTGCGACCCTGTGGGCTGTAGCCCACAGGTTCCTCCGTCCAGGGGCTTCTCCAGGCAGGAATACTGGAGTGGGTTGCTAGTTGCTATTTCCTCCTCCAGGGGATCTTCCAGACCCAGGAATCGAACCTGCATCACTTACATCTCCTGGATTGGGAGGCAAGTTCTTTACCACTAGTGCTGCCTGGAAAGTCCAAGAATACTGGAGCGGGTAGTCACTGCCTTCTCCAGGAGATCTTTCCGACTCAGGGATCGAACCCGGGTCTCCTGAATTGAAGGCAGATTCTTTACCGTCTGAGCCACCAGGGAAGCCCAGTATTACATTTATTCATTCTTAAATACACATGCCCCCAAAGCAAGCACGCTAGCCCGCCATCATGTGTGAATGATTTTCCATTGGGGCAGATATGCTCTGAGGGGTTCCTGGTTTTCAGCTGAGGGTCTCTGGAAGCAGTGAGAAGTGGGTGGTGGGATTTAGGAGGCACTTACAGACCCTCAGGGAGTGGCAGACTCTGAAGTGGGGCCCCTGCTACCAACCCACCCTGCCACCAGGTGCTTCCAGCTGGGTCTGGCAGGGAGATGTGGGCAGAGGGCTGGAGGAGAAGCAGGGGGAGCTGGCCAGGCATTACAGCCACTTTGCCGGGGGGCTTGGAAAGGCATGGGGGAGGTCTTCAACGTGACCCTCTTGTGGAAAGATTTTCTGATGTTACAGCTGTACCCTAAACCCTCTCTGTGGCTGGACACCATCTGCCCACTGAGCCAGATGCTAAGTGCTTTCAATGTGTTTGCTCATCCAGTCCTACACAGACATCCTGCGGGGTGGCCACTGTATTGTTCCTGTTTTCAGCTCGGAAGACTGAGGCATAGGGAAGGGGAGGAGCCGTGATACAAGCCCAGGCAGGTGGCCATGAACCGCTTCACTCAGCTGCCTTGGGCCTCCTGCCTTCATGCAGCAGGTGCTCCATAAATGCTCCTTGGACACCACCAGCCCAGCTCCTTCAAACCCAGCTCACCCAACTTTGGCATTTCCTCTCTGGAAGCCTCCAGCCGGGATTGCATGGAGAGCGGAGGCCCTGCTCAAGGCACTGTAGAGAGAGAGTGGAGGTGGGAGCTTCCCAAGGCAGCTGAGCCCCTTAGGGGCCCACCTACACTTTGGTCCCAGAGGTGCTGGCCCCAGTGGATGCGTCAGTTTGAGACCCATGGACCAGAAGGGAGGCAGAGGACACTGGGAGGGTTTGCTTCCCCTGGAAACTGCTCAGTCAGTGCTTTGCAGTGTGAGTGGGTGAGTGAGTGGCGGTGTAAAGCCTGCCTCGCTGCCCTCCTCGAGCACACTATCAGCGACTCGGTCAGGTGCAGCTCAGCTTTCCCGAACCTCAGCCTCCCACCTGTTCCTCATAACTGCTCTGAGCAAGAAAAAACGTCATGTGTACCCTGTGCCCATCACCTGGGGGCACATGATCAGGTTGTGCAGAAGGACAGTTGTGTGAATGAGCAACTCAAAGAATTCATTTATAAATAAAAATTCATTTATTCAGGCCCAACACCCATTTTCCCGGGGCTTAGTGTGAAGCTGGCATGTAGGGGTATGGGGTGCAGAGGAGAAAAAGCAGCAGAAGAGATGAACAGGCTGGAGCCAGGAAGGGTGTCTCCAAGGAGGGCCAGGACCCCAGAGGCAGGTCTAAGTGCATCCATCCATCCATCCCTGAGAGAAGAGGCCAAGAGGAAGGAACCTGTCTGCCCTTCCCAGATTGTTCAAGGCAGCAAAGGTGCCTTGGAGAGAAATGAATGAAGTGATTAGTGGGTGGGTGGATGGATGGATGGATGGATGGAAGGAAGGATGGGTGACTAAGTGGATGGGTAGAAGGAATGAAAAAGTAAGCAAGCAAACATAAGTGGATGGATGGAAGGTAGATTGATTGGTGAAGGATGGAGGATGGTTGCTTGGATGGATGGAAAAAAGGGAGGATGGATGGTGGACTGGATGGATGACAGTTAACTGGGGGAAATAAATAAGTTGATGGATAGATGGGTCGGTGCATGGTGGGTGAGTGGGTCAATGGATGGGTAGATAGATGGGTGAGTAAGTAGATGTATATATGGATGGATGGAACAACCAAACAGGCATAAGTAGATGGATGAGTGAATGGTGGATTGATGGATGGAGATGAAAGATAGATAGATGGATGATAGGTGGGTGAATGAGTCAGGGCATGGATAGATGGGTGGTACATGGGAGCATGGGTGGTCAGATGGATGGATAATGAATAAATGGATGGAAAGGTGTTGTAAGTTTATGGGTGGATGTTTTTGAATAAATGAATGATAGATGGATGGGTTGATGGAGGGACAGGTGAGTGGATGGGTGGGTAGGTTGATGGGTGGAAGGAAGGATGGAGGATGGATGGCAGGATGGATATGTGGCTGGCTGGGTGGCCTGATGGATGGGAAATGAATAAATGGATAGAAAGATATTGAAAGTTGATGGATAGAGGGATGGGTGATTGGATGTGTGAGTTGATGGATAGATGGTAAGTGGATTGATAGTTGATTCATGGATGGATGTGAGGATGGGTGGATGGAAGGACGGGTGGGTGGGTAGATGAGTGGTTGGGCAGAAGGATGAATGGAAGCATGGGCCGGTGAGTAGGTGGGTGGATGGCTGATGGAAATTTATGGAGGGATGGATGGGAGAATGGATAGATGGATGAACAGATGGGTGGATGGGCGAGTGGCTTGATAGTTAGAAAATGGATAAATGAATAGATGGAGGTTGATGGATGGAGGGATGGGTGTCTGGATGAATGGATGATTGAATGGACGGTAATGGATAGATAGTGGATTTAGGAATGGATGATGGATTGATGGATTTATTTTGGGAGGGAGGATGGCAGGTGGGTAGATGAATGGATGGGAGAGTAAGTGAATGGATGTATGGGTAGATAGATGGAAGGAAGCAGGTGTGGATGGATGAATGGATGATGGATGAATGGGTGAATACATGAAGGAAGGAGGGGTGGATGAATGGTAGATTGGATGGATGATGGAAGGACAGCAGAAAGGATGTGTATATGGATGGATGGACAGAAGGGAGGGTGGGTGGGTGTATAGATGGACAGATGGGTAGTGGATTGATGGAAAATGAATAATTGGATGAATGGATGTTGGAATTTGGTGGGCAGAGGATAGGTGTTTGGATGAAAGGATAAATGGATGAGTGGATCAATGGGATGATGGATAGATGATAGGTGGATGGATGGGAGGATAGGCAGGTAGATAGGATGAATGGAAGGAAGAAAGGAAGGAAAGATGAGTGGATGGATGGATGGATGATAGATGGGAGGAAGGATGAGTTAGTAGGTGGGTATCAGATGGATAATGAATAAATGGATGGATAGATGTTGAAAGTTGACGGACAGAGGGGTGGGTGTTTGGATGAAAGGATAAATGGTTTAATTGGTGGTAGCTGGATGGATGTAATGGTGAATGGATATATGGATGGATAGGTTGATGGAGGAAGGAAGCAAGCATGAGTAAATGGATGAATGGATGGTGGATTGATGGATGGATGATGGAAGACAATGGCTAGATGGGTGGGTGGATGGATGGAAGGAATGAAAGATGAGGGGATAGATGGATAGAAGGAAGGGAGGATCAGTGGATAGACAGATGGGTGGAGGTTAGATGGATGGAAAATGACTAAATGAATAGATGGATGTTGGAAGTTGATAGGGTGCTTAGTGGATTGATGAGTTAATCTTGGGTGCAGGAATGGCTCTGTTAGATGCATATATGGGTGGTGGGTGACTCGGTTGATGAATGAGCTGATCAGTGGGTGAACAGCACAGATGGGTGGATGGGTCAGTGATAGGACTGAATTTGTGGGTGGATGACTCACTCAGTGAACAAGCGTGGTGTGACCCTGGCCAGCATTCTTCCTGCAGCTGCCCATAGTGGCATCCTCCATCGTGTCCCTCTACTTCCTGGAGCTGACCGACCTCTTCAAGCCGGCTAAGGTGGGCTTCCAGTGCTATGACCGCACGCTGTCCATGCCCTACGTGGAGACAAGTGAAGAGCTCATCCCACTGCTCATGCTCCTCAGCTTGGCCTTTGCTGCACCCGCAGCCTCGGTGAGTCCCAGGGCAGGGCCGGGCTGGCTGTGAGCCCCCGGCTGGAGCCTTGCTGAGCACCTCCATGTCCACAGATCATGGTGGGCGAAGGCATGCTGTACTGTCTACAGTCCCGGCTGTGGGGCCGCAGCGGGGGCCCAGGTGGGCCCGAGGGCAGCATCCACGCCGGCGGCTGCAACTTCAACTCCTTCCTTCGGCGGACGGTGCGCTTTGTAGGTGAGTCCCCCATGGCATCTGAGCACTGAGGGTGGTGGGTCTGGCCCCAGCTCCCATGTCTGGCCCTTACACTCTCATTCCACAGGTGTCCATGTGTTTGGCCTGTGTGCCACGGCCCTGGTGACCGACGTGATCCAGCTTGCCACGGGCTACCACGCACCCTTCTTCCTGACTGTCTGCAAACCCAACTACACCCTGCTGGGCACGTCATGTGAGGCCAATCCCTACATCACACAGGACATATGCTCTGGCCACGACACCCATGCCATCCTGTCTGCCCGGTGAGCATGCCAGGCCCTGTCCCAACAAGCATGTGGGGAAACTAAGGCAGGTCCCAGAGCCTCAGGGCTCACCTGGGTGTTTCTTGCAGGAAGACCTTCCCATCCCAGCATGCCACTCTGTCTGCCTTTGCTGCTGTCTACGTGTCGGTGAGTGCTGCCCCGCACCCCAGATGCCCCACAGGGACCAACTGCCCTGACCACCCACCTGTCCCCTGGCAGATGTATTTCAACTCAGTCATCTCGGACACCACCAAGCTGCTGAAGCCCATCCTGGTGTTCTCCTTCGCCATTGCGGCAGGCGTCTGCGGCCTCACCCAGATCACGCAGTACCGCAGCCACCCGGTGGACGTCTACGCAGGCTTCCTCATTGGGGCCGGCATAGCGGCCTACCTGGTGAGGGGTCAAACAGGGAGGCCCGAGGGGGAAGGCCAGCCCCACCCACCCTGGGGGACGCTACCATCTTCTCCCTTGGGAGCTGGAGGCAGAATCTCATGAGCCCAGACTTGCCAAATGTGCAAAGTAGCCAGAGGCCAGAATTTGTCCTGTGGGGAGAAAGGTGGACTTCCCCCTCTCTGACCCCCAAGGCATATCGGTGGCTCGGTGGGGACCCTGGTCTCCAGCCACAGCCCTCACACCCAGTCCCCATCTCATCTCTAGGCCTGCCATGCAGTGGGCAACTTCCAGGCCCCACCGGCAGAGAGACCAGCGGCCCCGGTGCCAACTAAGGACGCACTGAGGGCCCTGACCCAGCGGGGCCACGACTCAGTGTACCAGCAGAACAAGTCCGTGAGCACTGATGAGCTAGGTCCACCCAGCCGGCTGGAGGGCGTGCCCCGGCCTGTGGCCCGCGACAAGACCTCGCTGGGCAGCCTAAAGCGGGCCAGCGTGGATGTGGACCTGCTGGCCCCGCGCAGCCCCATGGGCAAGGAGAACATGGTGACCTTCAGCCACACACTGCCCCGTGTCAGCACACCCTCGCTAGACGACCCCGCCCGCCGCCACATGACCATCCATGTTCCACTGGACGCCTCCCGCTCCAAGCAGCTCATTAGTGAATGGAAGCAGAAGTCACTGGAGGGCCGAGGCCTGGGGCTACCGGACGAGGGCAGCCCTGCACACCTGCGGGCGCCTGCAGAGCCCATGGCTGAGGAGGAGGAGGAAGAGGAGGAGGAGGAAGAGGAGGAGGAGGGGGAGGAAGGGGGTCCAGCACCTCCCTCACTGTACCCCACAGTCCAGGCTCGGCCAGGGCTCGGGCCACGTGTCATCCTGCCGCCTCGGGCTGGACCGCAACCTCTGGTTCATATCCCCGAGGAGGGGGCACAGGCAGCAGCTGGCCTCTCCCCCAACAGCAGCGCGGCTGTGCGGGCCAAGTGGCTCATGATGGCTGAGAAGAGCGGAGCCGTGGTGGCCGCGGCCTCGGCCCAGCCCCGTGTGGCCAACCCGCCCCGGCTGCTGCAGGTCATCGCCATGTCCAAGGCTCCAGGTGCACCTGGCCCCAAGGCAGCCGAGACGGCGTCCTCATCCAGTGCCAGCTCCGACTCCTCCCAGTACAGGTCCCCGTCTGACCGCGACTCTGCCAGCATCGTCACCATTGATGCACACGCACCCCACCACCCTGTGGTCCACCTGTCTGCGGGTAATGGGCCCTGGGAGTGGAAGGCAGCAGGAGTCGGGTCCAAGGGGGTGGAGGGAGACAGTGGCTATGAGCTGGGGGACCTGGCCCGCAGCTTCCGCAGTGGGGCCAAGCCCCAGGGCATCTCCCCAGGCTCATCAGTCAGTGATGTGGACCAGGAGGAGCCACGGTTTGGGGCTGTGGCCACTGTCAACCTGGCCACGGGTGAGGGGCTGCCCCCACTGGGCGCAGTCGATGGTGCCCTGGGACCAGGCAGCCGGGAGTCAACGCTGCGGCGCAAAGCAGGCCTGGCACTTGGTGATAGGGAGGTGGCAGAGGCTGAGGCTGAGAGCTACTACCGGAAGATGCAGGCTGCACGCAGGTTCAAGGACTGAGGGCGGGGATGGGGGGTGGAGCAGGGGGTCCTGGTAGACAATAAAAGGTGATCCTGGAGAAGAGCTCGCAGTCTGAGTCTTTCTGGAGTACTGGGTGTAGGGGTGGGGCTGAAACCCCCACACATGAAGGGTAACATGGCCGAGTTTACAGAAGAAACAGCAGTGAAACCAACAGGCCCAATAAAGAGGGGAATCAAGTGCAGGATACAGAGAGTTTATTCAGAGTCCAGTACAGACTGGCCAGACTGCCTTCTACATGTGGACAGGAAAAAAGAGCCTACAGAAAAGGTAGAAGTTGTTATAAAATCGCTTTAATTCAGTTCTCTCTGCATTACAAGCCGGCAGCGGGCGGGGCCTGCCGTGCTCCTTACAATACTGAGCCTGTAATTGCTGTTATCAAAATATACATCTGTGTCACCATAAAAAACCGCATTTGCTGCCCCTCACGTCTTACAACAGGTATAAAAAATTATAAATATTTACACCCTTGTTCCACCCCGACATGGAAACTTGAGGCCCAGGCCCCGAGTGAGGGCCGGCCAGCAAAGGCCTGCGTACGGGGCACCCCTTGGACCCGTGAGTGCAGGACGAGGCATGAAGACCGGAGCGGAGGGCTGCTGCCCCACCTCCTGGGGTCCCAGCATTAGAGGCAGGAAAATAACAGAAACAAAACTTTGGTCCAAAATTTGCAGGAAAAAAAGAAACCCTGAAAGTTGAAGAGCACTTGTCCTTGGAGAAAGGACAGTCAGGTGTAAGGCATCGGGCGGCAGATGCCGGCCCCGCTGTGTCTGCCCTGGAAACTAGATCCTGCCCTGCGACTCAATGACAAGGAATAAAATAAAAGTACAGTATACAAGGTCATACCACAAGGAAAAAGTTTAGGTTACACTCATACCATTTTTATCATCTTGCTATATAAAAAGTTACTTAAAACTATTTCTTTTGCATATAAATGAAAAAGATTAGAATATTTGGTCAACTGGAAATATTGCTAGGCACAGGTGTCTGCAGCTGCATCGAAGCATAATACAGAGATTACAGTGAAAACAAAGCTGAAGAAGCAACAGGGAAGGGTCCGGGGAGGCCCCAAGGCTGGGGGGAGAATCACACACTTGATTAAAGGATTGGGTGGCGGCCACAGCCCCCCACCACACCAGGCACATGATCCCAGGGGAGGCTGACCCCGCAAGCCCTGCCAGAGCAGCGGGTTTAAGGCACAAGAAAGCCGAGTGGGGGTTTAGGAGCGCCCGCCCTGCAGGCAGCAGAAGGCACGGGCAGGGGCTGGGCGGGTGGTGCCGTCCACTGTCACCAAGAGCCTGAGGCTGGCACCCCACCTCCCCAAGGTGAGCAAGTGAATTAGATTTAATTTCTTTTAAAAACAGGTAAACTGATTTCTCTTTTAAAAAAATAAAATCTCTGGTCTTTTAAGGTCACTTCAGCTGCTTTTTAAAGTGGCTTTTTATCTGGAATGATGGAAGTTGTCGCCGGCTGCCCGGCAGGCTGGTCCTGGGTGGCGGCCTAGATGGTGGACTTGGAGAAGGACACCCGCAGGTGGTGGTTCTCACCCAGGTCATGGTTGTGCAGGTCGATGAGCGCCTGGATGGCCTCCTCCACTGAGCCCATCTGGATCAGCGCCATCTTGCGGTCCTTCCTGCAAGGGGTGGGGGAACACAGGTATGAGGAGCCGCAAGGGGCCAGGGAGCCTGGGGACAGTGGGGGAGGGGGCTCTGCTCACTGGAAGAACTTGAACCCTTTGACGATCCCGCCGTTACTGGAGAAGAGAAGCTTGAGGTCTTCCTCAGAGATGGAGGGCCTGCAAGTGGAGAGAGGTGTGAGCCTGTCTGTGCAAGGACAAGGTCATTCCCTCAGGACAGGAATGTCCAGGGATGGGTGAGGGCCCCAGAAATGAGGTATCATTAAGATAATGGAAGCATTTGAGAGACAGAGGCACTCACGGGATGTTGGAGAGGTGCAGAGTGGCCGAGGGTGGGAAGATGTTCTGGAAGTTCTTGGAGCCAGGCTTCTTGAAGCGGTGCAGGGGTGAGTTTCCATAGTCCTTGGTCAGGCCCTGGTCCTCCTGGCCCTCGCGGGGCAGCTGCACGCTCTGGTGCTTAGAGAGTGTGATGCGCACTGGCTTTCCGTGCAACTTGTGCCCATTGAGGTGGCTCATGGCTGGGGTGGGTGGGTGGGGGGAGACAGCACACGTGACCTGAGGGCCCTGGGCACCACCCACAGCCCCGCCCTCCTGGGCCACCCCTTACCCAGCTGGGCCTGGCTCCCGTCGGCCATCTGCACCAGGGCGTTCTCCTTCTTGTTGAACAGGACCTTCACGCGCTGCACATCTCCATACACGCCTTCAAGAGCACAGGGACAGGGGGCTGAGCCCCAGGCCCCAGCCGCCCACCCGCCGTCCCCGCGACCCACACTCCCACACAGGGCTGGCTCTCCCCAGTTTGCTTATTCTGCCTCTGAGAACCTGTCTAGACACAGGGAGCATGACTGGGAGGGCTGCCTTCCGCAAAGAAGCCATAAAATCCAGGAAAGGTCAATTGCCAAGGAACCATTCTGTAGCATGCTACCGACACATTTACACTGCCAAGGGCATGCGGGCAGGGAACCGTGCTCTACAGAGTCCAGATAAATACGCAACCGCAGCCCAGGCCGCACGCTTCGGAATCTCAGGGCGTAACGACCACCTCAACTACATGAAAACAAGGTAATAAAAGTGTGAACGATAACATACCGAAAAGAATAAAGAGGCTTTGGGGTGTGACTCTCTTTAGAGGACAGCAGAGCAAGGCAGCGAGGGACAGGGAAAGGGAGAGGTCAGGGGGCGAGTTGCCAATCGTCCACCACGAGGAGGCAGCCCCGCAGGCGTGCAGGTTGATGGATGATGAAGTTGTCAGGATGTTAATATTCAAGGGCAGGTTGGTTTCCGGAGAGCAGGGTTTGAGGGGGAATTTTGTTTTTTTATTTATTTATGGTTTTGTTTTGTTTCAAGCAACAACAGGAAGCAGAAGTACCGTGCAGTCAGTTGGCAAAGAAATTCCGGATCAGGGCAAGAAAAAAAATTGGGAAAGGGGAAGGGGAGAAAAGAAAAAAAGTAGCAAAAACACAGGTCAGTAAATACATAAGAAAACACGCGGTGCCCCATCAGTCAAGACCACACACATTACAGGCCACACGCCGGGCAGGCAGCTGGAGCACCCTCCTCGGGGAGGAGGCAGCGCCTGCTGGCCCCCCACTCGCTCCCCCAACCAGGCCCTCCAGGAACTGTCTCCTCAGCCCGCACCGGAGCCTCCAGTCAGGCTCGCCGGGCGCTGCGAGCGGACAGCTTGACCAGAGGAACTGGGACGGGACTGGGGAGACCGAGAGTCACACGAGGTCAGACAGGCAGGAGAGCAGCTCATTAAACAAGAACCCCGTCTCTCGAGAAGCAAATACTGAGCCTCGATCACTGGACCCCAGCTCCCTGAGCTAACCCAGACCCGAGACAAGCCAGGTCTGGCTGCCACCTCAGGGACTGGCAGGTGGCCTCAGCTTGCACCCTCCTCTCAAGGCGCCCCTCTGCAGATCAAGGTTCGCTAGGCTGGAAATTTCAAGTTTGTTCTCGTGTACCAAATACTTCAACTCTCAACATCATGAAATTAGGAACGTAAATTAAGATGTTAAGGAAACAAGAGAACTCCAAGCACTGCGGGAAAGGAGGCAGCAGTGAGTGACGTCAGCGCAGAGAGGAGGATGGGGACGCCCACAGGCATGGCTGGGCCTGGACCAGCTCCAGAGCCCAGTGCCCGCTCAGAGGCTTCATCTGCACTACGACTGGGGGCACTCCCAACTCCTAATTCCCAGAGGCGTCACGTACCTCGGGGTTGAGGTTGCTGACCAGCAGGACAGAGTTGCCTGCCCCCGCCAGGCCCGGGATGGCAATCCGGCCTGCTGCCGCTGCTGCTGCCGCCGCCGACGGAATAGCCAAAGGGGCCAAAGCCCCATGTACATTAGGGACAGAGAGACCTGCAGGGCGAATGGGGTTAGCTGAGTATGGTGCCCAGTTTCCACAAGGTAATCGGTCTTGCCCATCCTCATGCAAACAGAGACGCGGGGGATGGGTGGGGGCATCAGCCTGGCCCCCAGCCCCGCGACCCTCCATGCTCCTCAGAGCACACCGTACTGGCCTGACCACCTATATGTGCCAACAACACAGAAGACTCAGGCTTCTCGGACGCAGGATCGAGCCCAGTGGCCTTGGCCGTGCGTGCACGCAGGTGCCCGTCACCATGCAAGCAGCATGCCGGGCGGAAGAACAGGCTCAGGACTGTTCCGCGTGTGGGTGCCTGGCCCCCAGGAGGGACGCTCAGGTGTGCTCACCCAGTGCATGCCGCTCCGCTTACCAGGCCGCTCAAAATGCACTAGGGGCGCATCCCTTCAACCACAGGCACTGGTCCTCAGCGGGCTCAGCAGCCTGGGAACGCCTGCCCTGTCCAGACTCCGCGCCCAGGAGGCTGGCCCCCCGCACTGCGCCACGTTGGCCGCCGGGGAAGCAGAGCTACTGGCGAGATGTGGACATGCAGAGGCGGCCCTGGGGCGAGTGTGTGAGTACCTGCGGCTTGAGGAATTGCAAAGGTGGGAGGGAAACCAGCTCCTGCATACGGAGAGGCTGACATTATACCAGGCGCACCTAGAAACAAACGAGACACTAATCATCGCACCCACGGGTGCGAGCCGGCTGCCAGGGCCCCACCCACAGGTGCGGGGCGGGCTGTGCGGGCACCTAGCCTGAACTACGAGTCTTGCCCGGGCGGCCTGCCCCCGGCATCTCACCAAAGGCAGCAGCCATGGTCTGGTCCAGCGAGGGCTGGCTATCACCGGACGGCAGGTCAGGGCGCGTGTAGTCGCGGCTCTTGTCGTTGTTGTACTTGACGTTGAGGCTGGTGAGCTTGGAGAAGTCAATGCGCAGTGTACAGCATGCGTTGTAGATGTTCTGGCCGTCCAATGACTGTGGGGACAGCGAGGAGGCTGTCAGCAGGCGCCTGGCGGCCACGGGCACAGCTGCCCTGGGGACCACTCACCAGCTTGGCGTGCTGGGCGCTCATGGGGTCAGCATATTGCAGCAATGCCTGGAACTGGTTGTTCTTAGTGAAGGTGATGATCTTAAGAACAGTGCCGAACTTGGAGAAGATCTGTGGGAGAAGGTGGTGGGTCAGCCTGGGCCCAGGCACCAGCCCCACTGCCCAGAGCTGAAGCCCAGTCCCTTCACCTGGTGTAGCACGTCCAAGGTCACTGGGTAGAAGAGGTTCTCCACGATGATCCTAAGCACAGGGCTCTGGCCAGCCATGGCCATGCCTGCATCCACCGCCGCGGCCGAGGCTGCCAGGGCCAGGTTTCCTGACTGGACTGAGTTCACAGCCTGCAGGGCCGCCTGGGCCCGCTGTGGGGACAGGACCGTGAGTCCCCCAGCCCCAACCCCGCATGCCCCACCCTGCCCCCACCCACCCACAGCTGAGGGTGCCGCACCGCCTGGTTAGGGGAGCTGTCTGTCTTGAGCTCCTTGTGGTTGGAGAACTGGATGTAGATGGGCTGGCCACGCAGCACAGGCGTCACCGACGTGTAGTAGTTCACCATGGTGTTGGCGGCCTCTTCTGTGTGCATCTCGATGAAGGCCTGGGCATGGGAACAGGGTGAGCCGACTCATACCAGGGATGCCTCTGGGACCCACCCCAACTGGCCCAGGCCTCATACCTGATTCTTCCCTTTCAGCATCAGGAGATTGGTGACCTTTCCGAAGGGCAGCCCCAAGGAAATGACCTCCCCCTCGGTGACGTCGCCGGGCAGCTTGCGGATGTGGATCACCCTGGAGGGCACGCCTGCACTCCTGCTGTCCCCCTTGAACTTCTTGCTGTCGTTTCCATTTGCTGCAAAAAAGCACTGTGAGTCACATAGGGCACCCCAGACTCCCTCATAGTGGGGCCCTCCCCGGCACCGGGAGGCTTCCGGGCCGAAGTGGTCCCCACACCTGGCTCCCAGGACTGTGAAGGAGGCAGGCGCAGGGACCAGGCAAGGCAGTAGGTGGGCGGGGTTACCTGTGGACGCCGACGTGCCGCTCATGATAAAGGGTCCGTTAGTGACGCAGGCAGAGAAGAGCTCGTCAGATCCCCGCTGCAAGAGAGGCGAGGTAAACCAGTGTCCTCGCTGCAGCCCCTGACCCACCCTACCAGGGCCCACGGTCCCCACCGCTCCTTTCCCACCTATGGAGCCCCTGGGTCTCTCCCCAGGCAGGGACAGAGGCTGCCCCTCAAAGGCCTCTGCGTGTCATGGCAACCTCCACCTTCCCTCTCCCCACTCCTCCCACCAGGGTCTGGGGTCTGCGTGGCTCAGGCTCACAATCCATGAGGACAAAGCCCCCTTGTCCCACCATGGCCACCCGCAGGAGTATGTCCTACTTTCCAGTCTGAGGAAACCAGAGCCCAGTGACCAGAAACGCCACCTCTCCAGGCAGCAGGCACCTTGGTGACAAACATGCTCCCCAACTGCCCTGTGGGCGGGCTCCCAGCCCATATCATCTCCAGAATTCCCTTGCTTGTTAGTCTCAACCTAATAGAATCAACTCCCAGAACCCCTTGAGATGCTGCTTAAGCAGGGAGAAAAGCAGACAGCCTCCTGCCAGCTGGGCGATGAGACCCCACCAAAGGGCCACCCATGTGTGATTTCCTCGATACACGAAATCAGTACCTGGCAGGAGCAGGAGACTAGCCGCCGCCCTCCCAGCCTTGACCCTTCTTCTCCCTCAACCTGCCTTTCTGCCAGCTCGCCCTCCTCACATCAAGGACACCTTATCTCTGCCCTTCCCCTAAACTGCCAGCCATTTCAGCCACTTACAAACAAGCAGGCTCCATGTCCAGGATACCTCCCCACCTTCCATGGTCCAGCGCTGAAGTGCCCCAGAGCCCCTTCAGGCGCTGACCCCCTCCCCAGCCCTCAGAACAGAAAGTGGGCACAGCCAGGCCAAGGCCATGGGGCTAATGTTCTGGACCTCCTCACTGCCAGACCGCCAGCTATAGGCATGCTGCCGAACCCAGACTCCCCAGCACCCAAGGCTGCTCAGACCACTGCTTGGTCTCAATGTGTACAGGTTGGAGTTGGATGTAAATGAAGCAAAATGTCAAAATCCCGACCGGTGCAGGCAGACCTGCCCCATCATGCCTTTCCTCACTGCCCTAGGAGGGGGGGACCTGGACACTTCCAGGCTCTGGACAGCCGGCCAGTTCCAGCCCTAAACAAACCAGAAACCAGGTGGAACACACCTGAGCCTCATTCTCACCTAAGTGGCAGGGAAGTTGACTTGGAGGCCGACCAATTCCTCCCTTCAGCTCACAAAAGCCCCCTGGCCAGAGCTGGACAAGAATGGACAGGGCATCCAAGTGGCTCCCACATGGACGCCAGCTGCACAACCTTTAAAAAGGGCATCTCAGCTCCTGTCAATAGGTGATGCACAGGGGAAGAACTCCCTCCAGAGGAGGGCGTTCTTAGCCTCAACTCCCTTTTCACAGCAGACTGCCTGGCATGAATACCTATGTGGTCTGCCCACTTGGCAACCCCCCCTCCCCCCTACACAGGGAAGTGCAGGTAGTGACCAGCGCTCAGCAGGGACTGCCCACTGGGGCGCAAACAGCGCACACGGACAGAACCCTGGGGGGACAAAGGTTAGGTCAAGCTACACTGAAGCCCCTGTTCTAAAATCAACTCAGCACCACCAGGAAGCCCCCGAAGCCAGGGACAACAGCAGCTAAGCACCACTAACACCCCAACACCTGTCACTCAGGGCACAGCTCGTGCTTATCCTGAGAGAGGGGGCCCAGGATGCCCTCCTGGAGGCACCCACGCTGGTGCACCCTCAGCCTCTGGAAGCAGCCTGGCTGGATGGGCCCCCACAGAAACAGGGGGATGGGGGTGTCACCATGCCAGTTACAAGCACACCTGGATGAGATCCCCCTCCCTCCCTCCTCTCGCCACCGAACAAACAGGTTTTATCTGCAGGAAGATCAGGAAGGCTGCCGTGTGAAGAGTCCACCTGGGAAAACCGAAACCAGCCCAGGCCCCGCAGCCAGAAACTAGCAGCTGCCTGCTCCCAGGGATAATAGGCCACCCCCAGGGCTGAGGAGGACACCCGGTCTCTGTCAGCGGGGCCCCCTTCTCAGAGCAAAAGTGAGCTCAATGAGAACGTCCTCAGAAGCAGCCTCCATCTGCCCCAGAGCCCCCAGTGATCCACCCTACCCAGGCCCACCCCTTAAACCGCCTGGGAAAGAGACTTCCACTTGAAATTGTAAAGAGTCCCATCAGCCCCCGGGCATCCCACCTCCAACCAGGTGCTGTTCTGGACTTCAGGGCAAACATCCTGAAGTCAGGGCGGGAGCCCCTCACCTCAGAGGAGCTACCCATCTCGCACTCCTATCACAGAGCAGGCTGTGGCACACCGCCCCCGCCCCCCAGCCCAGCAATGGGAGCACACAGGCCTCAGAGTGAACGGGCGGAAGGAGAAAGCGACGTCCCCAGTGCCTACCTTTGTACCAACTGCTATGTCTGGGACGATGCTGCAGAGAGAGAAAAGGAGACATCAGCAAGAAGCACCCACCACATGCCAGCCACGTGGGCTCCGGGGGCGGCACGAGCCCCCCACTCCAAGACTTCAGCAATGAGAAGGCTCGGGGAAGGGAAGGGAGGTGTCCTCCCTCTAATCGCCACTTGAAAAGGAGCCATCATTGTCCTCTGGCTCCTTTACCCTCCCTCCCTCCCTGCAAGACCCCGGCCCCGCCTCCGATGCATCCAAAGACAAAGACACCCCCTCCGCAGGCCCTTGGAAAAACACTAAATGCAGATTAAGATTGAAATGCTGTTGCTTGCTTTCTAGAAAAGAGCAGGCTTGGGAGACGCTTCCAGCAAAAGGCAAGCTAGTGAAAAGGCAACTCAGGGGCCCAAGGTTAGAGCTGCCGCCCCAGAGGACGAGAAGGGGTCAACCCAGTGGAAAGGATCAGATAAAACTGACAACAGTTACTCATCAACTGGGGTCCATGTGACCTTCTGGGGAAGGTGGGGTGTGACTGCCCCAGGCTCCAGGGTCCTGCAGGCCAAGCCCTCGGGACAGTAGAGCCCTTGAAGGGTGCCACCTAAAGACTCAGGAAGGGTCTGCTCAGGAGAACTTAGCCAGCTACGCCCCACCAGGTCACCTGGCCACCAGCCTGCCATCACAGGAGACCAGAGCCTCCCGTGATGTCACCTGTCCCCTGGCCAAGCCTCTGGCGGACAGAGGCCCTGGGGCCACTGCCTGCAGCATCGGGCTCAGGGTTCACCACAACCTGGGATCCGGCCCTCCCACAGCCTCGCCAGCCTGTGCCTTGGGACTGCCACTTCTTCCCCACAAAAACCTTAAAGGCTAATGTCAACGATTTTTAAAAAATCTTACTAGGCCAAGAAACAACTTCCCAGAAAAACAAAGAATGAAAAGCACGCAGTTTCCCAACTGCTAACCCAGAGCGGCTGGCGGCTTCCTACTCAGGGAGGGCCACAGACGCAGGAAGTGTTTCACAGAAGATGGCCTTTCTGCAAAAGGTCCCCCGACTTTCAAAAAAGCAGGCCAAACTGCAGCTGCACCAGCAAGCCAGGCCCGGCTGCCTAGGCAACCACACAACCGACCAGAGGCCGCAGAAGCACCCCAAACCACGTCTCCGTGACGAGGAAGGGAAACTCCGAAATTTGACCAGGGCGCCAGGAGAGCTCTTCCCACTGGGCTTCCCAGCTCCCGGGTCAGGACGGGGCTTCTCGGGGAAGATACGTCCCAGCCTAAGCGGACTGGAGAACACGAGATCAAGTTCCTCCTGTTGCAGCAATTTTTCTAAAAGGCTAACCTTAATTCAGCCTGCAACCTATCATTTCAAATCCGAGGCACCGAAGGCACGTGACCCTCCGGGCACTGGTAACCGCCCGCCCCGCCCGGTCGGGCCGACAGAGGAAGGAGAGCTGGCTCGAAGCTCCCCATCACAAGACACCCGCAACTGCTCCCAGACGCTTCCCGCGGGGCCCAGACGAGAGCGCAACTCCGCCGGGTTCTACTAGCTTCCCAAGGCGGAGCCAGGCCGCTGTACTGCCTGCGCCGACACCTCCGCAAGCGTGGAGCGGGCTCAGGTCCGGAGCCGCCCCGCCCCCAAGGCGCCCGGGGCGCCACCCCGGGACGCCGGGCGGGAACAAAGGGGGCGGCGGAGGGCCCTCGCCCTTCCGGGCGGGAGGGCGGCGTCTCCAGCCGCACCCGGGCCCGCGGCGGGCGGGGGAAGCCGGAGTAGAGTCCGCGCGGCGGGAAAGGACGCGCACGCGCGACAGGGCTGCCGAGAGCGCGCGGAGCCGCGCACGCGCGCGGGGACCTCAAGGGGCGCGCGGAGACTGTACGGGGCGCCAGAAGGGCCACACGGCGGGCCGAAGGCGGCGCGTGCGTCTGGGGCCCAGACGGGAAGCGGGAAGGGCGGCGCGGCGGCCGCGTGCTCTCGGGAAGAGCCGCGTGGGCACCGGAAGCGGACAAGGCTCGGTCCGGCCGCCCCCACCCCCCACGATCCCTACAGCCTCTCGCCCGGCTACCCCTGCCGGGGCGCAACCGCACCAGGATTGGGGGGAAGGGAGAGAAACCCCGGCGGCGCCCGAGGGCCTGGAGTGGAGGCGGAGCGGTGTCCCGAGTGTACCGCCCCGAAGAGGCCGGGGCGGCGGCGAGGGAAAGGCTGGATAGCGATATAGGCGCCGGGTAGCGCGAACCAGCACTACTCACCCGTCCATTGCACACACAGGAGACCCGCGGGGGACGGAGTGGAGGCGCCGGAATAGCAGGAACCGACCCAACGGCTCCGAGTTATAGACTCACAAAATGGCGGAGACGCCCGAACACGTCCCCCGCGCGCTCTGCCCATTGGCTCCCGCCGCGCAGATGGGCGGGGCGAGCGCCGTCGGACCCCGCCAGCGCCTCCCAATGGTTAGGAGGTCGCTCGAGGGGTGGGCCCAAGAGCAGTGGCAGGCGGGCATTGGATAAGGCGGCCGTCCGTCAGAGCTCGAGGCGGAAACGGCTGGTTGAGTCGGAGGAGGTGGGAAGAGGTGAGACCATGTGATGGCGTCAGAGCCAGTTAGCGGAGCTGACCTCTTTTGTGGGGCTTTGCGGGAGAGCCATCTTGGGAGTGGGTACGTGGCGGATCAGGCGGTGGGAAGCGTGCTTTCCCCAGCCTCCCGCCATCTTGCAAACGGGCAGAGACCACCTCGACCTCCGACGTGATGTCAAAGGGAGGCTCACTGCCATCTTGAAGTCGGGCAGGAAACCTACAGGGCTCCATCTTGTTTGTGGGCACCTGGCCGAAGTCCCTTTCGAGTTCAGACGTTGCTCAGGTTAGCGAGCGGAGCAATGGCAGCGGCTTAAGGCGTTCTAGAGACGCCGGGGCTCTTTCCACTGCTGGCCACAAAGCCTGCGGCACGACGAGGCCACGGGTGGCCTTCTGTCTTTTGTCCGCCCCAGAGCAGCGAACCCTGACCACCATCCCCTCGCGTGACTGCAAGGGTGGGGAAACTGAGGTCCGGGTCGCACGGCGAAACCCGCCCTGCCTGACTGTAATGGAGGGAAACGAGGCCCGGGGTGCAGGGTGGACGCTACCCACCCGCCCAGCACGCAGGGAACCTGAGACCCGGGGCGCGCAGAGCCGACTTCGCCGTCCCGGGACGTTCGTAACGGGACGGGTCTCCATCTCGGGAGAGGAAAACTGCAAACTTATCCCGGAGAACGCCGATACCAAGAGTGGGACAGGGCTGTGGGTGAAAAGGGAGCCTTCAGGATAGGAGACGGAAACCAGGCGGCTGCGGGGGACGAGGGGAGAGGGGCAGGCGGAGTCAAAGAGGGCCCGAGGCGGTCCGGTCCGGTCCCCCAGACTTCTGGAAGCATCTGGGAGAAGATGGGCATTCAAGGCTGGCGCAGTTCCAGGGTGGGGTAGACGTTCAATAAATAGAGGACATTGGCCTCAATACTGTTTGCTGTAAGTCGTGCTGAAAAGGGGAAATTTCAACTGGTATCAGCCTAGAGAAAAGAAATGACCCTTCTCGCTTCCCTAAGACAAGTTGCTTAGGGGCCCTTGCTCCCGCCTCTCAGGTCGGTTTAGCTTGGGCGAAGTCATGGCAACAGTGCCCATCTCAGTGCCGCGCGGGCCTGGACGGGGCCCAGGAGCCTTGGAGCCCGGCTCGAAGCCAGAGGGCTTTCTCGGATTGGGGGCGGCTGCCGATTTCCACGGAGGCCTCCGCCCTTAGGTCCTTGGCCGGCTGTGTCGCTGAAGCCCAGGAATGGCTAATCAGGAATGTCTCGGTGGATTTGGGCGAATCCCCGGCGCATTCCTGCGGATTGGCTGTCCCCAGGACTCCCATCGCCCTCCACTCCGGGTACCACCAAGGGCAGCTGCTCATCTTTGTTGCCTTAGTGACTGGTGTCAGGGACGCGCCCCCGCCCCCGCCGTGACAGCAGGGAGGATGGTTGGAGACGCGGGAGTCTCCGTGGACCAGAGGGAAAGGAGGGGGCAGCCATGTTCGCGGACCCTCCACCAGATTACCAGCATGGATCTAAACGGTTGGAATCTATTCAAACCCACTTGTGATCACCACCGTCAAGGCTCAAGAAAGCCCAAGTCGACGTTGTGGCCCCACAGAAGCCCACACCGCCAGCACCTTTCTGGTTTCTGACCTCATTTACATAGGCCTTCTGTGCAAGGCTGTTCCCTTAAGGTTCCTCCCTAAACCGACTCCCTCCTTCACTGCCTGCTGTAAGGCAGGCCCCATCATCAGAACAGCCTCCCCAGCCTTTCAAAACGGTTGAGAATTTCTGTCTTGCCTGCCACCAGAACATAATAGGAAAAAGACAGCCCCTGCTCAAATGGGAAAAGTGCCACAAACTAGGTGACATAAAACAACACAGGTTTATTCTCTGGAACTGAAGTGTCCACAAGGCCAAGCTCCCTCCAGAGACTCCAGCAGAGGGTCCTTCCTGCTTCCTGAAGCTCTGAGTGCCCAGGTGTCCTTGGCTTGTGACACATCCCTCCAGTTCCTGCCTCGGTTGTCACATGGTCCTCTTCGCCCTCTCTGTCCTTCCTCTGTGTGTCTCTAAAAAGAACGCTTGTCCTTGGATTTAGAGACCGCTGGGATGATCTCATCTCACTCACCACGCTTCATCTCACCTGCAGACCATCCTGGGGTGGGGGGTTATGGGGGGATGGAGGATGTGGACACATCATTTTGGGAGCCACCCATTAGCCCAGGACCCCCTATGGAACCTGGATCAGACATGAAAGTTTGCTAGCAGGCCTTCCACATTTGCACTGAGGGGAGGTGTCCGGGGAGCCCCTGGGCCCCATGTTTCAGCTGGATCACTGCCCTGGTTCATGGGAGCTGGTTGGCCTCCCTGTCTGCCTCCTCCCTGCTCAGCTCGCCTGCCAGCTGCCTGCCTCATCAATGATTTAGACTGAATGTGCAAGGTGTGATCACCTTGCAATTGTCTGAGAATTCTGAAAAGGATACTTTTCAGGGCCTGAGCAAGGGAGGTGGGCCGGAGCCAGATGGGGGTCAGTGTCCTATGCACTGGCAGGGACCACTGGGTCTTATCAGTATTTCTCTTTTCAGATCTGCTGGGGCTGCCTCAGTTTACTCCTTTGTCAACATGACGGCCAGGCCTGGGCCACTGCCCCCTTCCTCCCCATGAGCTTTCCCTAGTGTTTCAAATGGAAATGGCTGGGTTGTTCTAGAGTATTTGGTCCTGTGTTTATTCACTACCTTGATCACAACAGCGATAGCTGCCCCCGCCCCCCCCGCCCCCGTCTCCCCGTGCACCCCCCAGCCCCAAGGTCTAGCCTCTTGCTAAGTTGCTTCAACCCTGTCTGACTCCGTGACCCTACGGGTGGTAGCCCGCCAGGCTCCTCTGTCCATGGGATTCTACAGGCAAGAATACTGGAGTGAGTTGCCATGCCCTCCTCCAGGGGATCTCCCTGACCCAGGAATCAAACCCACATCTCATTATGTCGCCATTGGCAGGTTGGGTTCTTTACCTGGGAAGATCAGCCTCTCTGACTCATTTTCCAGATTTCTGTGGGACGGAGCCTTGAGTGTGCTGACCTGAGAGGCTATCCTCAGCCCTTCAAGGCTGGAGCCCCACCCCCACCCCAGCCTCCAGAACTTGGGGGCAGAACAGACATGGAATGTTCACTCAGGCCTGAGAACACTCATGGGGGAATCTGCCTCCTGCCCCTTGACGGGGTTCCTCAGGAACAGCAGGTTCCCCGGCCCCAGGTCCTGAGGCCAACGTACAAATGTTATCTGCCCAAACCAGCAGGCCAGCGGCTCCCTCCAGGAAGGACCCACTGTGTCCCCAGACCCTGCCTGGGACAGGAGCAACGCCAACCCCCCACCCCCCACCCGCCCATCCACACCCTTGGGAGCTCAGCCTGTGCCGGCACCTCCCTACAGGCTCCGTTTTAACTCTAATCCTGTGAGTCAGAAATAGTCTCCTTTTCCCAAGCCCAGAGAGGCTGAGTGAGGTGCCCTGGGCCTCTCAGCCTGGAACCCCCACCCCCCACCCCCACCCGCGCTTTACCCAGGCTGCCTTTATGGGGGCACCAAGGAGGGTGGGCAACAGTCTAGCCAGTCCTCAGATGGTCAATGTAGAGTTATCACCTGACCCAGCAATTATGGTATGTGCCCAGAAGAAACAAAAACAGATGTCCACACAAAACCTGAACATGCATGTCCGCAGCAGCGTGATTCACAACTGTCCCAAAGTGAAAACAACCCAGGTGACTACTGACAAACACAACGTGGTCCCTCCACACACAGGAACATCTCTCAGCCATGAAAAGGAGAGAAACCCTGACACTCGCTACCATGTGGACGGACCCCGAGAACACGATGCTCAGTGAGAAAAGCAGACACAGAAAGACACACAGGGTGTGATTCCGCTGATGGGAAACGTCCAGAACAGACATATTCACAGACAGTGGGTTCCTGGCTGTCAGTGCTGGGAAAGTGGCTGTCAGGGGCTGGCATATCTTCCCCAGTGATGAATTGTTCTAAAATTGATCGCTGCACAGCTCTGTGAATAAACTGAAAACCATTCAAGTGGCTAGGCAGTATGGATATGTGAATTATATCTAATAAATCTGTTTTTAAGAAATTATTAGGATAAAGACCAGAAATGACAGCACTGGTGAGGATGGGGCAGGTGAACACTAAATGCTGCTGGGGAGCAGGCAGTGCAACCACTTTGCAAAACAGCTTGGCAGTTTCTTAAAAAGTTGCCTGTATGCCTTCTCTAAGGTCAGGCACCTGTGCTCCTTTGTGCTTACACAACAGTCAACAAAAACCCAGGCAAGATACTCCATAGCAGCTTTGACAAAAGGACATAACAGACAAACACTGGAAAGAAAGGAGGTGAGCAACTGCCCAAAGGATGCAGATGGGCCATGTGGTGTGTCCGCTCAGGGGAGCCCATGCGGCAGTGGAGAAGCGCAGAGACCAGCCAGGTAGACCTTCATTCCATGTGTACAAATGGAAGCTCAACATCAGGCACAACACACCCACGGTGCCAGAAATCGGGATTGGATGCTCTTGGGGAGTCCGTGGCTAAGAATGGCAGCTTGACTGGGTGTTTTGCTGCATGTAAGTTGCAGCTCAGTAAAAATTCTGCTTAGAAAATCCAGGTGATGGGACTTCCCTGGTAGTCAAGGATCCACTGTGCAGTGCAAGGGGCGCGATCACTCAGTCCCTGGTTGGGGAACAGAGATGGCACATGCCGCAGGGCAGCTGAGCCCACTCACAACTAAGGCCAAACACAGCCAAATAAACATTTTAAAAAAGAAAGAAAATCCTAGTGATTGTCATCTTTCTCACATCCAGGGTCTGTAAAGTTGCAGCAAGTCCTGGCTTGGGGAACACAGATTCCCCGGTCCTGGGGAAAATGCGGGGTAAGTGAGGGTCCTTTGAGCCTCTCTGCTCAAAACAGCATCACCAACTCGTCAACACACCTCTTGTTTGCTGCAAGTTTCTGTTTGAAGACCCCTTATTCAACATATATTGATTCAGTGGCTAGCAGGGCTGTAGAAAGACTTTTATCTAAAAATACTTTTATCCAAAATCACCCACAAAAAGCCCTCCATGTGAAAAACCAGGCCCTAAACAAGCAAGGAAGAGACCCTGGTTTCCATCCTGGGTTAGAGCCAGAGGCAGAGCCCTGGTTCCAGATCTCCTGGGCTCGGATGCCATGGTGTGTCCAAGAGTGACCACAGGAGCGCTGGGAGCATCGACTGACAATAAAATAATACATTTTACAGATAAATGCAAATCAACTTCAGCAAGAAGCTGAATTCACAGATGCAGCATTTGTGAAAAACCAGAACATGCTATCATTTGAATCTGTGCCACCTGGTCAGGTGGCCACTGGTCCCATGTGGGTTTTTTGTTTTAAATTTTTATTTATTTGGCCACCCCTTGTGGCTTGTGGGATCTTAGTTTCCAGACCAGGGATAGAATCCAGGCCCTCTAATGGGGGAACACTTGGAGTTTGGGCTCATGTGCAGGAGGGACCCACAGAGACCCCACCAGGGGTTGGTTGGGTCCTCAAGGGATGCCCACGTCCTGACCACTGGCACCAGGATCACAACCTTGTTTGGAACCAGGGTCTTCACGGATGTCGGGAGCTGAGTCATCCCAAGTGGGTGGCCCTCATGTCAAGGCTGGTGTTCTTCTGAGAAAAGAGGACACAGAGACACGGGGAGGGGCCACGTGATGCAGGCCCCCCCCCCCACCAGAGCGGTGATGTGGCCCCAAGGTGGCCAGCTGCCCCAGGAAGCTGGCTCTGCAGGGCCTGTAGGAGGGACCGGTCCCGCAAGACCTTGACCTCAGGCTTCCAGCCCTCAACTGCAAGAGGAGAGCCCTGTGCCCTTTTAGGTACCCCCCCCCACCCTGCCCCCGAGGCTCTCAGCGGCCATGGCCACAGGAAACCACTCTGCCCGCGGGAAAAGGGGAGGAGGGGCCAGCCAGGCGGGGAGGGCAGCTGCTTCCACGAGCTTGCAAAATTCATGACAAGGACAACATCTCGATTGGGAACATGAGCCCAGCTGTAAGCGATCTGAGGCCACCTGCTCACCCGCCCCCCACCCCCACCGCCTGTCTGCAGGGTCACGGGACAGCACATGGCTGCCTTCAGGGTCCGGGCTGGACAAGGACCCGGGTGGGGGGAGTGGAGACCCCAGACTTTGCCTGGCCACCCCCTGGGCTGCCTCATCTGGAACTTGTTCTGGGAAAGTCGGTCGATGCCTTGTCCAGATCTTGGCTTGTGACCCAGGGCGTGGGTGAGGCCGGCTTGAAAAGGCCAGACCAAGTCCAAGAGCAGAATTAACCACAGTAAAGCAGCGGTTCTCACCTGGGGAGATTCTGCCCCTGGGCACACTGGGGTGCATGTGGGGACATCTGTGCTTG